CAGTAGATTCTTTCAGTTGACTCAGAAGAACACAGATTAACATGAGATCTACCAAGTTGTTAGTGGTTTCACAGGAGGTGGGAAGAACATGGAGAGGAGGTACCTGCCCAGCAAGAGGGTTGAAGTTTCAGCAGATGCAGCGAGCGCATGATGGTGTCCGACCTCAGTGATTAGTATTGCCTCCTACATGTGCCCACCACAGATAATGGGCTCTGACAGTGCTTGGTGAAAAGTAGTTCTTCTCCAGCTGACACAACAGAGGTCTGTTTTTGAGCAGATGGTGCTGTACACCAGGCTATTCCCCACTTTCATGTAGATATGTCTGGTTTATGCAGTGATGGTGTGTCTGTGCACTATGGGGACAACTCTGAAAGGCCTCCTGTTAATGGAGAGGCAGAAAGCTGGCAGGAGGAGGTTGTTCTCTGCCTGTTACGTATCACTAGGAATGATGAGGGCTCCTAATCCTTACCTGGCACTGCTGTTGGCCATGGTGGCACAGCCAGGCACCCACAGACACTAGTGAACTGGCTGTAATTGCTTGATGTGTTCTAGTCATTGACCCCGGAATGTGTGAGTCCAGCCATTCTTGATCTTTGGTTTACAAATCCTACTTCATATGCAGTTAACATTAATCCTTAATGCACAATCTCTCTGTTTTCAGATCCCAGTTACAATAATGAAGCCAGATGAGAAAGCTGAGATACCAGTAGGTGTTGTGATTGGCAGTATATTGGCGGGACTCCTCTTGCTGTTAGTGTTGGTTGCCGTTTTGTGGAAAGTAAGTTTATATTCTTAAAAACAGAAAGGTATAAATACATTGGGCTATTTTCTCTGGAATCTCTCTGGTGTGGAACTAAACTGCGTATGCAGTTTGGTGGCATGAATAATACTGCATTGGCATTACACCCTTGATGTATTTTAGAATGGTTTGTGAAATGAGTTCTTATAGAAACTGGCAACATGAAGATGATAAATGAGTTGCCAGTTGTTCAAAACAAGGGCTGTGGTATTTACTTTTTTCCTTTTGACACTGTCTGCCTCCTTCCATAATACCCTAGCTGAGCTCTGAATGCCCATGATATTCCCAGTGGACAAGGCTGGGGATTAGAAGCAAGGAGGGAGAGGATGTATCTAAACAGACAAAAGAACAGAGAAAAAGCAAGGGCAAAAAGTCATTTACAAAGGATACCTAGATAAAGGGGAGTTCTGTGTGCATTGGTGTTTGAAGGGCTCCTTGACACACCAAGGCAGCATGGAGAGTCAGGGAGACAAATGGCTAATCAGCACTGCTGTTCTGGTATTTAGTTGCACCAGGCAGGAGTTTAGGGCCCAGATCTTTCATTTTAGAAGCAAGAATTTTCTACAAATCAAACTCAGTAGTTTGTGCATGCACACGTGCACTTCTACCATCACAGTATTTAGCTTAGTTAAGAAATGAACTATCAACTACTGACTGCAGTGTGCTGTTATTTTAATACTTCTCACAGCTTGGCTTCTTCAAGAGACAATATGAGAAAATGACACAGGATATAGAAGATGTCGATGAAATTGCAGAACTCACAAAGGACAAAGACTGAAGAAGATAAGTTATATGGATAAAGAGGAGATCTGAGCCACCAACAGTAGTTGCGATCCAGTCGGTTCTTCAGCTGGAGTGCCTTAAAGCTTAGTAACATTTAAGCATTTTTAATGAAAGTGTGTTTATAGATGAAAATATTTTACAGATTCTACTCTATTATAAGAGTAACTGCAGGACAGTTTGGTTTTTTCAAAAATGATTTATAGTGTCTTTTCTAGTCAATTTTTGCCTTTCAAACAAACTCAGCCCTTAGAACTGGCAGGTCCGGAGTATACAGTAACATACTGTGCCAGCAGCCCTTCCCTTGATCCACTGCAGAGTAAAACAGAACAATTTATTTCAGATTATTGTGGAACAGCATCAGTTCGTAATTCAGTTGACAAGTACCATATGTGTAAAGGACATTTTTTATTAACTTGATGATGAATGTGTGGTGAATGCTGCTTCCAGACTGGGAGAAGAAGACTTATTTTTTCATTGACTAGCTCCATCCTTATTGTTTTAGAAAAATAATTTCCACCAGCAAACCTTTGTCTTAACTAATCTACAAACTGGGAACTGTGTATGAATATGTCTGTCTGGGTGCTACAGGACAACTGGTTGGGCAAAGTGCTCCAAAAGTTCACCATATTTCTTGCACTAAGGTCACAACTAAATTACTGAAGGATATTGTTTTGGGGAAATATTGCCAAATGGTATGTATAACTGCCTTCTGCATACTTTCTGTCTGAGAAGAAAATATGAATTTCATAATCACTTACAGCATGTTCTTTGCAATGTTATTACTGGTTTTCAGATTTCATCTTGAGAAGCTCTACCACTTCTATTAGGCTGGGCTTTATGCTCTCAGTCCCTCTGACACCAGTTTGGCTTTTGACAGAAATAAGGAAGACAGTCAAGATCTTGCCTTTGATTCTGTACTGAAAGATTTTGCAAGACTAGGAGCAAAAAGTTAACTAAAGGGGATAGATGACTGAGGAATTAAGCATGTTACAAAAGGGGATAATGAAGATCTAAGGTCTGTAAAATGTTTACTGCACTTAACTTCTTTAGCATCTCAGTGCCCTCCAGGAGACCAAAGTTCAGTACAACCTCCTTACCTGTCACATTTGGTCCCACCTGTTCATGTCTTGCTGAAGTTAACTTATGTTTTATACAGCAAAGTACTGTAGTGCTCTGGTAGGAGCTCTAAGCACAATACTTGGGTGACTTTGTGTTGGTTACACACCTCAAGTTTATCACATGCTGTTATGCTGCCTGGTTATAATGAAAGCTCAGTCTGTCTTAGAAAGGCCCATGCTGTAAGACTGGAAACAATCAGAGGAATTGACCTTTTGGCTGTCTTTCTCTCTCATGGCTGGCAGTTACACTTTTAATTGCTTGTGAGAGATTTGTTTTCCTTGTGTATGCTGCCATGCAAGTGAGATGTGTTTCCAACTCGAGAAGATTTACTTGAACAAGAGTAAAACATTCAAATGTGCCTGATCTGACCTGAAGTCATGTTTTCTTTTCCCCAAGGATAGACTGTAATTATGCTTAGGCACCTTTCAGTTATTTTCTGAGGGACTAGGCTTGAGCACATTTGAAAGTTTTACTCGGTCTTTTTTAATCAGTAATCAGTCAGAAGCCAACCATCTCTTTGGCAAACAAGAAAGAGATGCTTCATTTGCAGCAACAGCTGGATTGTGCTCAGTGTAGTTTTATATGTGTTTTGGGTTTATTTTGTATCTATGAAATGTTACATTTTGTGGTATTTTTTTTTTAACATTCTGAAAAACTATCCAGATTCTGATCTCGATTGTCAGACAAGATTCTTGCCATCAGCTGAGTCTGTGACCAAAACAATTATTTAAAAAGTAAAAAAAAAGAAAAAAATTAGCAATTACATAAATCTAAAGAATATGCTCCTGACTTATAAAGCTTGAGGGCAAATGCTCAGAAAGTAAAGAAAAAAATTTGTCTGCCTCAGTTCTTGTGTAAACTTGTGCAGAAGAAAACAAACTCTACACCTGTACATGTGGGAAGCTCCTACATAATCAGGGTCAGGCACTTCAGGGCAGAGGGGGAATTTCACAATGCATCAGATAGCAGAATGTTTCATTTCTGGTGCTGCCTGCAAGGGAAATTCAGGCATTCAGTCAGATTTCCTTCTTCCGCCTTTGGTAGGAGGTACAGGTCAATATCTGACATGCAACTTCTTTGGGGATTTAACAGTTTATCAACCGGCTAGCAATGATTTAATTCACTAGTCTTCACTGGGTTTTATTCTGACCCGGACAACAGGATCTTCCCCCCAGCCTGGACACAATAGTTTTTTTCCAAAAAAAAAGGGGAGGCATAGCAATGGGTAAGGTTTTTGTATCCTAACCACTTCAAGTTACTAGTTTACTTTCTTTTTATAATTAATACTTCAGTGGCTAATTCAGTTTTTGTAATGGTGAGTCTATTGCACTTTTAAGTTGGCACAGCCACAAATAATACTGGAAATATTATGTATATCTTGTATTGTGCGTGCAAGGGTTTTTTTTTTTTAAGTTTACTTTTTTAAAACAGCATGTTTTAAATATTCTGAAATTTTGAGCTTCAGCATGTGCTTGCAACAAGAAAAGTCAGCGATACGTTCAGCAAACTCAAGTTACGTCTGATTCTGGTCTTGAAATCTAGCTGCTGATTTCTTGAAGTACTAGAATCAAATCCAAAATCAGAGTTGGTTTCATATGAGCCTATGTATAAATTTGAGATATACAAGAGAGTTTATAATAATGTTGACTTCTAAAAGCTAGCATGTAAGCTCTATGGGAGCAGGGACTGTATCACTGTGGTGCCTCTCTGAGGGCCTAACAGCGTTACTCCAATAAAACCAAGACTGCTGCTGAACACAGACTCATTTATTTTTAAATAGCACCCTAAAGCGAAGCAATGCTACTCAAAAAAGCACTGCATAAAATGGAGCGGAGTGTGTCTTTGTTCCAGTAGCACACAGTGAGAATCCTAAAGGGGATGACTCTGCTAGGTATACAGAGAAGCTGCACTTGAAGTCTTGTAGATCATAATCAGGAGTATAACACTATCAGTAAACTATATTGTAGTGTAAGTCAGCTCAAATTAGTGTAAAATATTTGAAAAGCTCTAGTAGAATAGATGGTGTTAAAACATTACCACAGACAGACCTTCCTATAAACAGGAGGTTATCATCACTGGCATCTAAAATTGTATCACATACTGGTAGGCTTTGCACTTTTTGCTGTTTACAGAACTGGTCAGCAGTAGCATGTCATGCCTGGCTCTGGCCACTCCCCACCATACACTGGAAGAGCTGAATTCAACATTTCAGCAGACACAATGTGGCAAAGGAAGAGAACTTGGCTATTAATAGAAAGAAGATAGTACTGTCAGTAAGTACCACCTGAAAACTACCCTCTTTCACAGAGCTTTTTATTTCCACTTTCAACTCCTCCGTACTTTTAACAACAGTACACAGACATTCAGGTAGGCTACCAACTTTAACACTTCCATAATACAATACCAGACAAACCTGATCTCAAGGCACAAAACTCTGTACTTCAAGTTTCAGTGTTTTTCAGAATTAAAAGCCAGATTCCTTAAATACTGGCTTATGTATGTGCTGGTTTTGACTGAGGTAGAGCAAGTTTTCTTGGCAGTAGCTGGTATGAGGCTGTGTTTTGCATTTGTGCTGGAAACAGTACTGATAACACAGAGATGTTTTAGCTATCACTGAGCAGTGCTGACACAGGGCCAAGGCCTATTCTGCTCCTCATCCCACCCACAGGAGGCTGGGGCTGCACAAGAAGTTGAGAGGGGACACGGGGATATCCCATCCCATTCCATATGGTGTCATGCTCAGCATATAAAGCTGGGGGAAGGAGAAGGAGGGGGTGTGTGTTCAGAATGATGGCATTTGTCTTCCCAAGCCATGGTTACACATGGTAGAGCTCTGCTTTCATGGGGATGGCTGAACTTGTCTGCCGATGGGAAGTGGTGAATCAATTCCTTGTTTTGCTTTACTTGCATGAGCGGTTTTTACTTTCCCTATTAAACTGTCTTTATCTCAACCCACAAGATTTCTTCTCTTTTACTCTTTCTGTTCTCTACCCCATCCCATGAGGAGCAGAGTGAGCGAGTGGCTGGGTGGGGTTGGGTTGCTGACTGGGGGTAAAGCACAAGGTATTTTACACTTTACATCCAAAACTGGGTTACAACAAAAGCTTGCAAGTTACAGACTAAAGAAAATGAAGGTATGAAAATGCATCTTGAAATATATAGCTAACTGCCTCAACGTTTAATTGCCTTTAAAGGTAATTAAGTGTACATTTTCATTGCCTCAGAAAACTTGGGTCCTATCTTTTAAGTTACCTTTCTGTTCTCATTTATGGTGAATTATTTGTATGTGATCACAGGCTTTGGTATGCTAGCAGTTTTTAAAATGTATAGGCCACTTAAAATAGTTGAAATGGAACATTTAAAAGAGAACTGCTATAAAGATACATCAGGATACTAATCTTTGTAACACTTGATAAGATCAATTTTATGATTTGTTTGTTTTTCAGAAAACAGGCCTAGGGTAATCAAAGAAATTGGTCATTTATAGTCATCAGCCTATTCTGAACTCTTCCACCACTTCCACAGGACACTTAATGGAAGGGCTCAAGACTGAGTTTCAGAGCATTTTAGGGGGCAAAGGGCAGCACTGTCTGCTTTCACAGACAATTTGTTAATAATTAGGTTTAACAGTTCTTTCCTTTTAATGTTTTTGAAGGAGCAAATGAATGTGCTAGTCTGTGAAGCTACAAATTACTTTAACAGCTGTGGGAAAAGTGAGCTGAAAGGACCAAAAAATCTAGTTTAAAGTTGAACAATCTAAAGGCTTCATTCCTGAGTGCAACAATGGCACTTTCATGAATGACAGCCAAAGCAAGGGCCTGTACTTCCCAGCACAGCCAGCACCTGTGCAGGGCAGGACCTGCTCTACCCACTGAGCCATCTCTCGGCTGCCATCTCCTGGGTAGGCGCCTTATAACACAGCCCCCTTCCCCCACCCGCCTATTTCATGGCAATCCATCTCTTACTGTTTTCATCTTATGCATGAGGCCAAGCTTCTCCTGAGAACAGAGCAGAATGATCAAAAACAGGAAAGGAAACTCCTAAAATTAAGGAATGCTGGTATATGGATATTCGGCCACACAAAGGGATGGATCAGTATATTCAAATGTTGCCAGCCAAGACTAAGGCATCTTCTGAGGAGAAATTCATGCTCTGAAGACATGCACTTCCCTTCCACAGACAGCCCTCATCTGTCAAATTTCTACAAGAATCACATGATGACCCACCGGTCTGCAGCATTTGCTCCTGGGAACATCTCTCTGCACCAGAGCCACAAATGTGACACACCTGGTAGAGCCACAAAGGGGTGGGATTACCCTCCCCTACAGACAAGGCAGAGAAATGCTTGGACTCGTTTCAGAAAGCTGTATATTTCCTTGTATATTTATCTGCAGCTGCCTATCATCCCACTCAGTGGACCTCCCCAGAAGACAAAGTAGCCTTCACCCAGCAGTGTAGTCCTGCATGTATGGATACTGGGACATGTGCAGAGCCACATCTTTCCCTAACACACACTGTGACACAGCTGGGATTCATCCCCTGGCCTGGAAATTTGGAAACACTTCTGGGTCACTCCAGATATAGCCTGAGGCAGCTACCTTAGAACACAATGATCTGCCTTAGCAGAAAGGGTAGCCCTACAGAGGGAGACAGAACACAGAGTTTGGAGTATGGACTTAAATTTCAGCAAGATACATTTTACCTCTAATTATGCACAACATCCCTCCTAGAGGCATTTCCATTTCGCTTTGAGATGCCAGCTGAAGAACCCAAAGTTACACAAGATCGATACATCATTGTTCCAGAACAAAGCAGTACTTGCCTCATGCACAGCTAGGGACACAAAATGACATTTCATTGTTTTTACCAAGGCAGCATACACACATTGTAACACTCAGCTGTGACTCAGTACAACATCTCTTCCATTCATTGTTCCTGGTCACTGTGGGGAAGTACACAATTATTCTCTTTTTTTCTGCACCCTCCTTCACAGCTGCATTGCTGATGGGGGAAGGTGCACTTAAGGTCACCCTGGAGAAATCTTCCAGGACACTGCAGCACTAGAGAGGCACTAGGGCAACACAAGAATTGCCCCTGATCGTGGGGTCCTAAGTAGAACTTAACTATTTTTCTTTATCTGAGCACAGCACCAGTATGCAAGCACTACATAGGTTTTACTTCATTCATAAACCATCCACTAAAAGACAAGCTAAACATTTATTTTTGTGAAATTAATACACTAATTAGTTGCATGGTAATGGCAAACATGAACGTGGAAAAATGAACACCAAAAATGGAAAAGGTCATGTATGTATTTCTCTTCTAAAGAGAAAAAGAATTATTTGACAGAGGAAGTGATCTGTGCTCAAGATTCAGTACAATTGCCAGTAAAAACGACATTCAAACAGCAGAGGGCTTCTCTCCAACCTCCAAAACAAAGGAAAACTCGAACTTGCTTAGCTCTGCCTAGATTATAGGGCCCACATGGTTTGTAGGGTGTGTATATGTAAGCATGCAAGGAGTAGCTGCTGTCCGGCAGAGGATGGACTCACTTCCACCGAGGAAAGTGCATCAATAAGTTAATAAGCACAGTTTAACCACATTTCTGCCTGAAGCTGTATGTTTCATTATGGTTTACTTAATTTAGATATATTAACTAAGTATTAAAACTGATTGAAATCCCCAAGGAAAAAAAGATCATCACCTGCTTTCCTCATTTTACTTTGTACAACTAGCAGCTGCTGTAGATTTTTACTGCAGACACAATGAAATGGATTACAGAGCTGAGGCTTCAGCAGTCTGTGATATAATTGTCATAGAATGCTTTGGGTTGGAAGGGAACCTTACAGATCATCCAGTTCCAACCCTCCTCCCATGGGCAGAGACATCTTCCACTAGAGCAGGTTATTCAGAGCCCCATCTGACCTGGCTTTGAACGCTTCCAGCCATGGGGCATCCACAACTTCTCTGCCTCACCAGGTTCACAGTAAAGAATTTCTTCCTTATATCTAAAGTTACCCTCACTTCAGCTTAGGGCCCCTTGTCCTATCACTACATGCCCTTGTGAAAAGTCCCACTCCAACCTTCTTTTAAGCCCCCTTTTGATACTGGAAGGTGCTGTAATTACAGTCTCCCTGGAGCCTTCTCCAAACTGAACAACTCCAGTTCTCAGCCAGTCTTTGTAGAAGAGGTGCTCCAATCCTCTGATCAACTTAGTGGCCCTCCTCTGGATGCATTCCAACAGGTCCACATCCTTCTTTTGTTGGGGATTCCAGAACTGGATGCAGTAATCCATGTGGTATCTCAGCAGAGTAGAGGGGCAGAATAACTCCTGTGACCTGCTGACCACCCTGCTTTGGATGCAGCTCAGGACACAGTTGGCTTTCTAGGCTGCAAGTGCACAGTGCCAGGTCATATTGAGCCAAGAATCACCTTCAAAAGTAATTATGTCTAGACATCATTAAGTAGTTACAGGTTGGCATGTTATTGCTAATGCAAGTTTGTTGCTGGTAGAGTATTAGATCTAACTTTGAATAAAAGTCTGTCCATATTTTCTTTAATACAATAGACTTGCAGTATCAGCTGCACAGTACAAATGTTTCTGTGAGACACAGCTACTGGAACATAACCATTACTAAAAAGTTAATAAGTCTAGGGCATAGTTTGTATTTTCTTTGTCTGGACCAAAATATTTCATCTACTTCAAGTAGTTTTCATGTTACAAGAATATCAAAATAGCATAAAGCTTGCAAACTGATTCTACAGTCATAAAATTAAACCTGTCTGGACTTTTTTAAGATTAAAAAAAAAGCAATTGTCCTGCGGTGACCTCCCATGCAGATAGAGAACACAGACTACCAACGTCAAAACATTAGAGCATTATATATCACAGAGCAGTCTAAATACCTTGCTACCAAGAATTTTAGGGAAGATTGTTTTAAAAACTGCCTCCATGTTAGAATGCGCAAAAGGGTGCTTTCAAAGGATAGTCAAGAACGCTTTAAAACCCTAATTAATACTCATTCATATCTCTCAGTCCAAATTAAATTATTCAGATTAAAACATCTATTATAACTGTTTAGAAACACATAGATTCTCTGAAAAACAATTCAAAGGTAAATATGCTCATTTGGAAGAGTAACACTTTATTTTTAAAAGAGTACAGTTATTTTTCTGAATTTGCCCAAAAGCATTCCTTGTTTTCTTTCCAAGAATATTCATCCTCATAAATCTCCTGCAAATATAAACAAAGAATGGGCAATATTGTGAGACTCTGCTACATACAGCCACAAGCCAGGTCAAATAACTCAACAGCCACCCCGCTATTATTTACTGATCACAACAGGACTACACAGTACTTGGCTGGCAAGCAGAAAAGAGGGCAGCACCCTTAGAATATACTAACTTAGCTGAACCTCGAGCTGATACCCATTAAATTTAAAAGGGCCCATCTATACTGAAGTTCAACAAAGAAATCTAGAAGATATGATGTAAAAGCTGTAGAGTACACAGCACTCATGTAGTACCTACTGTATCATCATTTTAAGAAGAGTATTTATGTGTAGCAGAATGTCAATATTAAAAAAAATATATTACATCAATACACCAAATACAGTAGTACTGGATCTGATGGACAGACTGGACTACTCAGCAGCAGTCCAATCCTATACAGAAAATTCATCAGGGCTCTGAGATTACACCCTGATTACTTGTCTCCTGAAAGAGGTGTCAGAAAAGTAGAGTACTCAAGAGAACATCACTGTTAACCACATGGCAAGTTCTGCCTGGGAGAGAAGGCAGAGGTAATGCTCATTACTTGCATGCAACACTGTGGTTACACAATGAATCTCTTTCTGGACCTGGGCTAATTTCTCCACTGTTGTGTGCCCATACCAACTCTGGGATCTCTGTTCATCCCTTCACTGTGTGCTATTGCTTAATGCTCTGTGCTTTCTCAAGGCCACAGGGATGAGGGGAAAAGACAGAGATAAGAAATGCTCCTTTTACTTGCGAACTGCAAAGCTGATTCAAAGTTCTTCCACAAGCCTGTGAGGAACTGAGTTTTGCAACTCAAAAGAGGAGAACTCAGGCCTCTTTCACTTTGACCCCAGGCTGGCTTCAAAAAGAGAAGGAGCTGAATGGTAGAGGTACAGAACAGCCTTTCAGATGTTCTACCTGCCATATATGGGCTTGGCTGCATTAGAGGAACCTCACTGCTGCCAGACACTGACAAGCCATGAGGAGCAACTGCCTCCTGGAGCATTTCTTAGATAGCCCAGATGTCTAAGACTAGCATAGGTCTAAATTCAATTTTTGTTTTGTCTGAAAACCCTCTCACACTGAAGCAAATTGTGGGAGGGGGGCTCAAACTTGGAAAGACCCCAAACATACCTTTTTCCATATTGGTACGGATGCTTTTAGGGTATTGATGCAGTACATTACAGCTTCAAGGGATTCTGCTCTGTGTGGAGAGGAGACTGCAATAATTACACTTGCTTCAGTTATTGGAACCACACTAGGGAGAGAAGAGGAACAACAGCAGTTTTAGCTAACACTTAACATCAAGAGCACCCAAAAGTTGTGGCCATGTCACGTCAGTGTTCTGGCCACATGCTCTCCTGAGTCATTCATACTGAGCAAGTGTCAAACCACGTCCAAAAGATTATACACTTTTTAAAAGAAAGAAAACCACAACCAAAATCAGTACCAGATGTTAAAATTCCACACTTGAGAATAAATAAATCCACCAGACATAGGCTTTTTTCATCTATTCTTTCTTTTTTTTAAATTAAGCCTATGGAGTTAAGAGGGGAAAATTGTTAATTTGCAACAATACATAGGAAACTCACTGAAAGTTGGCTAAATAATAAACAATAACAAGTTAGAACAGTTAGTTCTTATCTGGAAACCTAAAAAATCATCTCAATTTGCACAAGAATTTGTGAAAGAAGAAATTAAGTGCCTCATACTATGCAGATTTTGCAATGAAACTTAATTTTTGGTGAACTCTGATTTTAAATTCTGAAGTTTACTATTCAATGTGTTGTTTTCCAAACTTAACAGAAGAAGCACAAGGTTTTGTTTTGCTCCTCACAACAGCAGTATTCCCAAAAGCTACTTCCCAGTTCTCCCTCTATTGTAGGACTCCTCCAGCAAATAGTTCACAAGAAGAAATCTCAGCTTAAATGCTTTGAGCTGCCCTCAAGAGAGCCACTCTCTCTGCTGGCTATAGAGGAAATCTAAGGAAACTACCCTTCAGACCTACTATCTTACCCTTTGCAATCACCTCCAGTGTTCCTTCAGACTCTGCAAGTCCTACTAATTTCAGTGAGAAACCTGATAAATAGGGAAGGCTCAAGAGAATGTCAGATACTAGCATTCCATGTTTGAACATAAGGGAATATGCTTATCCAAGACTCAAAACCAGGAGGTTCTCCTGCAAGCATGTCTGGCAATTACTGTGTCTCTTCACTCCCCATAGCCCAAGCTTGCAGATTTTTTTTATAGCATAAATTGACTTAAATCTGACAAGGACCTTCTGCAGCATCTCCATAGAAGAGAGAATAAAAAGAAAGTGCTGAAAACTTCATATCTTTTAGAAATAAAGACAAAACAAACCAACCCCTTCTCCAGAGTGAAATTACAATCCCTTCTCCCCACTTTTAAAACATCAAACCAGCCTCAAGGATCCTGCAAGGCTAAATGGGGACTCCAGCAAACACTACCAATAGACACTGCATTACAGTTTCTAAATACTCCTGCAGGTCCACGCACCAGATAAGGATTAATATTCCACTTACAGAAGGATGTGGTCTGGACATACATACCCAAGTCTATGGTGCACTGCAATATGTTTGACTGAAGGCCATTTCTGTCTTACATCTCTGCAGATTTTCTTTATTTCAGTCTCTGCCATTGAAGTATATGCTTCATATTCTAAGTGAATCACCTTTTTCCCTTCAAAATTATTTCTTGTAGTACCTAAATAAAAATGATTTATCAACCAAATAAAGGGTACTTAAATAATAAATAAATAATAAATAAATTACTAAATATATACTGTATATTTATAACATATACTATATACATATTACATAAAAACATATAATGTATTAATACTGAGTAAAACCCAGGATCTCTTGCTATGGTCAAGGTCAGCACTGCGCAAATATAAACAATCTCCCCTAAATATGGCTGCATAAAGAGATTATTTGAACAAGATAAATCTTTACTATAAAAGGAATAATTTAGTTTACACATTATGCAAGTCCAGAGTCCATAATGCTCAAGGCTGGGACATCTTCTGTGGTAACTGCTAAGGTGCTATTATTATTGCATTTGCCCATGCAATTTTTAAATGCTCAGTATTTAGAAGCCCAGTAGCACTAAAGTTTAAGGACAAAGGGGTTTCAGATGTGTGTCATGCACATTAAGCACAGGATAGAGTATCAGCCTTACCTTTACCAGCTCATGGGTAAAACAGTACTTCACTTTCAACTAAGACCTTAGTTGTGAGACCTCACATACAGGTGTGGGCATGTGTTTGCATAGCCACAATATTCTATTCCCACCTTGAACAAGCTCTGTCCAAGAGGATAGAGAAAACACCTCCCAAGCAGTTCTATACTCCAGAGCTGTCGCTCCATTCAGTCCTAGGATAGCTATACCAACCTGAAAGCTTCTCACCCACTTAATCCCAGTGCAACTGTTTAACTGCTGCCATAGTCTTGCTCTAATAATTCAGAACATGTTTTCTAAACATCCTGGGTTCAGACCAGGAATTGATTTATTTGAGAAGCACAAGTCTGGGATGTGGACAATCTACATTCTATTTATTAGACCATTAATACACCCAAATATCCAGCTCATAAATATTAAACTTACCAATGAACAGAGACACTGCCCCACAGTATGGTGAAATGACCAGCTCTGACACTTCATCTACAGAGAGCTTTGCAGACTTGAGCTTGATAAAATCTTTTGGCACATCTTCAGTTTCATCCATATCTCACTAAAAAGGTTGAAACCAAACAGACTCTGTTGTTGTTTCTGAAGATACTAGCATCAGCCAACTGCTTTTTATCTAATTTATGCAAACAACATGCACCATCTATTTCCCTGAGAGACCAGTCTACACATCAAATTCACTTCTCATCAGTCTCACAGAGAGAATATGAACTGCAAATATCGAGCAATGACCTGGTTTTTAATGTATACATATTCCTTTCTGACAGAAAAGTCTGGTACAATGGGACAAAACTTTAATTAGTCTGAGGCCATGGTTTAATAATACAATCAACCAGCATGGACCACTGTATAGTGCTGGTAAATCTTCAGTGATATTGCAGCCCCTCCTACTTTTCTTATCCTGAAATCAAACAGTTTAAAAACAGAGATTTCTGATAAACACAGATTAGATTTCTAATCCTAAAGTTGAATATGCTCTCCAGGACATTCAGGACCTCACAGTATCCATCCGTTTCAGTCACAACAGAGACACTTTTAACTTTTCTGAGTAGAAACCAGTCATCAGATCACCTAAGAATGAGAACAATGAGAAGGATTTTAAGCAGCAATGGAACAAGCTGCAGTAAACACAAGGACTGCCACTTGAAAGCAGGTAAAGAAATTGAGCTATTCTAAGCACACCTGCTCCTTTAACAGCAAAAATAAACAAAATTTTTAAGCAGCAGTTATTTTGCTGTATTATCTTTTCTGTTAAAAAGCAGCAGAAGGTTGTTCATTATTATCTTATTTAGGCAAGCAAAGTATCTACTGGTAGCCAGAAACAACAAGGAAGGAGTAAGAAGACCTAAAACTCAAATTCAAAACAATGCCCGACCTCTCTGGCAATTGTCTTCCATTTACTGAATATGTGTTAATCATTTACTGGTGCACTGGCTTGTAGTGGCTTGCACTGGCATAACTGTATTCTCCAGATGGAAATACACATTAGGCTCTCTCAAAACAGTACTGGGGTGGAAGGAGAGAATAGCAATCACATCTGTGGACCTAAACAAAAAAGGATTGTTGGAACATCATACAGAATTCAGATTATAGTGGCACACAATTATGCTCTATAGCATAGAAACTAAGCAAGATACCTACCCAACAGAATCTGGGCAGGTTCAGCCTCCACTGATCGGTGGGATGATGGCAACCTCGTCTCCAGGCTGAAGGACCAGGAGCTGATCTCCAAGAAGCACGTATTCCTGCCGAACAGCAAAAACCACTTGATCCTGGATGACAGCAAGCCTGAGGGGGATTGGCAGGAGCACAAAGAGTGTTTACATTTAACCACGGATTTCATTAAACAACCAACTGGTGCACAGTCTAGGGCAACTGAGGTAAAAACCACTGAGACTTACGCAACTTTGCTTCCTAGACACTGTCAAAAAAACAACAAACACCCATCTCCTACTCTTTGGTTTTTTTGTAGTGGCTAAGGAGAAACAAACTCAGTATAATTTCAAAAGTCAGGAATTCGATTTGTCATAGGCCTGTATCAGAATGAACCAATGTATATCAGACCCACTGCAGCAGCTTATAATAAAGAAGTAACTCAAGAGGTAGCAACCATACAATTCGGGATTAGAAGTAAATATTGCCCTGATACAGTCTCGAAGGACTGGAGCAATTTTCTTACACACCAAGAAGCATTCTGGGTGCTGCTCATGAGATGTCATGAAGATTCAGTGGTTAAAGAGATGCTCTTGTTGTGTGTGCTCAGACTTCATGAAGACTTTGGGTCTTTTGCACTTACAGGTCTGAAATCTGCTGTTGGTAAGGAGTGGCCACAGAAGTAAGAGGGCAGATGTGATGTGTCTTCTGGCAGACCTTATAAATATTTTTTGATTTCACATCTTTGAGATGTTGCTGTGAGAGTCCACAGCTCTGGATATCGTGAGACAAGTAGTCACTTTCACGGCTAAGTGCAATTACACAGCAAGCATGAGGGCAGTGGCAGTAAGACACCAGGAAAAAGAATGCCAGTATTTTACGTTATATGGTGCAGGTATGATAACTGTTATTGTTTGGACTACAAAATCTGGCACAGCCACCAGAGCTGTACTGCATAGAAACAAGTAGACACACCAAAAGAGTACAAGTAAAAATCATCTTATTTCCTACCAGCCAGATAGACCAAAGTAGGCAAGGCACAGACTAAGCAAAACACAGTAGCTCTGACTCAGAGGGCAAACTGAAGAAAGGGACTGCATGAAAATCACTGAAGAACTTGGCATACCCAGGAAATTGAAGTGCCCATTAGAAGGATGGGTTCTAATTAGTGTCACAATTAGTGTCACTTGTAAGCAAAGTCACTGGGGAAAATGGGTGGAACAGAGGAGCACTGTTAAGTATGCTAAAGCTGGAGTTTGAATATCCATTAGCAATGTGAATAGAAGTCTGTGGTCAATGCCCTAAAATTACATTTTTTCCATAAAAGCAAGGAACAGAAGCGTTTTTCACGAAGGCCGCTGTGAAGTAACTGCAAATGCAAGATGTACTGCCCCAAGTCATCACTCATAAAAGGACAAAGTTGACAAACTATGGAACACCAACCAACGGTGCTGCTGATACCTCTGACAGAGGAACAGGCTGCAAAGTAAAATAAGCACATGCCCTGCACTTTCTCCTCCCCCAAAACACATTTAACTCCAGTTCTCTGTGAGGAAAAGGCCCCTGGTCTAGCATTTTGTTAGAGCTTCTCACCTGGAAACAAATACCTTTGCTAAATAGTTCATTGTTTTCATAGCCTTTGAGAGTAATCGACTAAAGAAGAGTTGTGCCTTGACATCTAATTCCAGAGTTATGGAAATTCCAGTGCATTCAGCACTAAATCCTGAGGACCTCAACCTGTTAAACCTTACTTTTTTTTACCCCCTTCTACCCTTTCAAAATGGTGTTGCATCTTTGTCTATCAGACTCATTCTTGTCAGAACTGAGCACCTTTCCTCAGCCCTAACATGAGGCAACTTTTCTGCTGACACCCCTAAGGAGCACCAGTGCTGCAGAAGCTCTTACAGCACAAACACAGAGCTCTCTCAGGACCAGACTCCCTGTGAAATGCAACCAACAGCAGTATCTTTCAAAACAGAGAAGGTTGAAAGTGGTTGAATCTACTTCCTGTGTCAGGCAGGGTTGAGTGGCTAGAAGCCTCTGCAGGCTTCAGTTCCTTTCCTGATCTTTCTTCCAGAGTGTGCCATAAGATCAGACCAATGGCTAACTGTACAGTTAAAGATAATTACAGAATCAGTTAGGTTGGAAAAGACCTCTGAGATCATCAAGTCCAACTTTTGACCTAACACCACCATGTCAATTACACCATGGCACTGAGTGCCATGTCCAGTCTTTCCTTAAACACATCCAGGGATGGCAGCCCACTCCAATATCTAATCCCCCCTTTTGTGAATAACTTCTTCCTAATGTCCAACCTAAGTCATTGAAAACACCTGCACACTACCATTTATTTCTTATTTATTGTCCTGGCTGTGCTTGATCCCTCCTTGAGACATCTCACCTTCTCCACAGGTTAATAACATAGTTCAGCTTTCAGCTTACTGCACCACACCTCTCCTGGACAATGGGACCCGTGTACCACTCAGGCTCAACTTCGGGGTACATCTACTTTTGGGACCTGGGCTTTCCTTGTATATACATAAAGCTACAGCCTTTCCAACTGTGCGAAACACGAAAAGCTTGGTGCAGGTTACCAGAAGAAGGTAACATCACTGGTTTTGCACTGTCGAAGTACTGCTACACATTCCAACTACACTCTAAACGCCGAATTTGTATTTACCAAAAAAAAAAAGAAAATAAAAGATATCCAACCACGGGTTTTGTGCACCTCATTGGTAACTTGCTGGGTACCTGGGGTGGGCCTTGACGATCTCCTCCCAGAGCTGCAGAGAGGTGATCTGCCGTGGCACCGAGAGGGTCTCGCTGCGCAGCCCCGCCAGCTCCGCGCTCCGGGCGAAATACAGCACCGAGACCTGCTCGGGGAACAGACAGGGCTCAGAGCGCGGGGCCTCCCCCCAAAAAACCACCAACACACGACCGGAACCAGAGCGCCGGGAAAAGCTTTC